AAGCGCCATCTCATACGAATTGCCTGAACTAAATTTTGTATCCTGCGTGCTCTGTCATTATCCACAAAATGGCGGAACTTGTCTCTGGGAATGTCTTCGCGATTTTTCGCTTTTCGTTCTTATATTAGCATATTTTTGGTTGAATGAAGGCTCATTCGAAAAAGGAAGGTCCAATGAAGGTCATCATTTATGGGTCATCATTTGAGTCACAAATTCCATTTAATAACCTAAAAATACTTTCATTCTGCGGGTGTGTTTTGCTTGACTTTGGACGCTCATATTATTAAATATCAACACACTCTCGTCCAATCATGACCAGAGTCCCTTCGTTGGACCTTCCTCTTTCGAATAAGCCCTCATTCAGCCCAAAATATGTTAATATAAGGACGAAAGCGGAAAATCCCGAACTTCTTTTTTCCCCAAACTGTAGTTCACTGATTTCTAAGGATTAAAGAATTACTTAATTTTGAATTATTTAATTCATACAGAAATATATATTTACATACACGTATTTACATAAAAAATTCGTTAAAAATATACTCGAACTATTCTTAATTAAATCATTTTGTATCTTGCACCTCAAGACTCAGGATTGGTCAACTTAACGAGAACTTCGTTCTTTGGTACATTATCGCCTATCGAACAGAATATTTCTTCGACTGTTCCATTTATGGACGCCCTAATGGTGTGCTGATAACAAAGAGAAAGTTGATTTTTAAATCTAAACATGTATTGAAAATCTGAACATGTATTGATTAACGATTCAAGGGAAGAGATACCTCCATCTTCATAGCGTTAATAACGATCAAAGCATCACCAGTCTTTACAACGTCTCCCTTTGCGACGAGTATCTTTTCTATGGAGCCTGGTATGGGACTCAGAGATTTGCTTAGATCCTTATCAGCATTTTTAGACGAAGCATCGGAAAGAAATTTCATAGTGGGTGCTTCAAATTGCCACTCGCGATCCTGTAACAAAGAGACATAATTAAACTAAGAAATAGAGTTTCAGATTAGGGATATTCATGAACAAATTTACTAGCCTTAGTAAATAAATGTAATTTGTTATGAATTTTGGCTACTGTCGTCCTGGTGATCCAGTTATCGACTTCAACGCATAGTTCCATTCTGTTCTTCTTCTTTTCCAATGCGCCTGTTACCTTTCTCCAAGGACCAATTTTATTGATCCTCATATGATAGACGTCTGGCTTGATGTATCTTACTTCAATTTCTATATCTTTGCCGTAAACGTTAAAACGAAATGTCCGTGTTAAAGTGTGATGTAATCTCATTCCAATTTCGGTTGCAAATGGACTAAAAGGATCGGAGGTTGCAAGAGAATATCGTAAAGAGTCCATATCTTCGTAGAATATCGAAGCAAGAGCAGCTTGTACCGCAACTTCGTTTGGCACTTGTAATTTGGGAAACAGATCTTCATAATGTTCATTTATGAATCCTGTATGTACTTGACCTTGTTGAAAACTAGGATGAGAACATAAATCCTTGATGAATTCTATGTTGGTATCGAGTCCAGCTATCTGAAAATAGCAAGCTGAAGAACTTCCTTTAAATTTCAAACTTCGACTGGGATAGTACTCACATTATATTCGTTTAGCTTTGATCCGAGTATGGCCAGGGCTTCTCCCCTATCTTTTCCCCACGTAATCAGCTTTGCGATCATTGGATCGTAGTGTACCGATACTTCATCTTTTTCGCGAACTCCAGTCTCGACTCTGACCGTTTCTGACACTTCTGGAATTCTTAAATACGACAGGTGTCCAGCCCCTGGTAGGAAACCATTCCTTGGATTCTATGGTTTATTGCAACAATGAACAAACAAACAAGAAGCAACGAAGCTATGAACAATATCGCTATCGATAAATCGACGACTAAGAGACCGAGGCAAACAAGCAAGCCACTCAAAGAAAGAAAATTATTTACCTCAGCGTAAATCCTCGCCTCAAATGCGTGTCCATTTAAATTTATTTGTTCTTGTTTCAATGGGAGTTCTTCTTCCATCGCAACTCGTAATTGCCATTCGACAAGATCCAATCCTGTAATTGCCTCTGTGACAGGATGCTCCACTTGAAGCCGCGTATTCATTTCCATGAAGTGGAAGGTGTTTTTGTGGCGATCCATTATAAATTCGACAGTACCCGCGCCAACGTATCCTACTGCTTTTGCAGCACGAACTGCGGTCATACCTAAGTTTAATCTCAATTCCCTTGAGATTCCAGGCTATGGTATATCAAGAGCATTATACATCTATAATTTTTTGATCTCAAACTAATTTTAATAATCAAACATACATACTGCAGGAGCTTCTTCGATAATTTTTTGGTGTCTTCTTTGAACTGAACAATCCCTTTCAAACATATGCACAACATTCCCATGCTTATCAGCGAAAACTTGCACTTCTATGTGTCTTGGATCGCTAACATATTGTTCGATCAAAATAGCCGAATCGCCGAATGCTTTCTCGGACTCAGTTCTTGCACCCTGTAAAGCCTCTGCAAATTCTGATTCTTTTAAGACGATTCTCATTCCTTTTCCTCCTCCACCGCGTACAGCCTTCAACATTAGCGGAAAACCTATCTCTTTTGCTTTTTGTAGTAAAGTTTCATCGGATTGATCATCTCCATGATATCCTGCATACATTGATGACAGATGTAAAGTATCGCTAACATTTGTATTCCTATTATTATTTATTTTAAACCGACCAGACTATACCATTTATCACAGGAACTCCAGCTTCGATCATTATAGCTTTTGAAACATTCTTTATTCCCATATTTTTTATTGCATTTGCTGGTGGTCCTATAAATATAATGTTTGCTTTGTCGCAAACTTCTGCGAATTCTACATTTTCTGAAAGAAATCCATAACCAGGATGTATCGCTTGACATTTTGATTCTCTTGCTATGGATATAATTTTCTCTTGCCGCAAGTAACTTTGACTGGAAGGCGCAGGACCAATGCAGTAAGCTTCATCTGCTTGTTTTACGTGCATGGAATCACGATCTGCCTCGCTGAATATTGCTACAGTTTGTATTCCCAGTTTTTTGGCAGTTCTTGCAACACGACATGCTATCTCCCCTCTATTCGCAATCAGAATCTATAATAATAAATGAAATATGATGGACAAATACGAAAAGAATTGTCTGCAAATTTTGTGCAAAATATTAGCCCTCACTTTGTTGAATTTGACGGTTGAGATTCTGGAGCACTGCATGTTTCTTACTCTTGGAATTGATACGCTGTACCTAGTCAATGATAAAAACATATTTTTAAATGCTTGTATAGTTCAATATTGCAATAAAATCTTGTTACATTTTACTTACTCTATAAATAGAGTCCGTATTTTTTCGATTCGATACATGTTCTTATTCTATAACAAGTCGAAGTCGTTCTAAATCTTGGCTCGAAATTGTTACTTGTATGTATCATGATAATTACTGGAAATGGATAGAATTTTTTCTGAAAAGTTTTATCGTAAGGTTACACACATATATTACTATATACAAGGAGATAAGATAATTCTGTATGGATACGTACTTCTTTTCATATTCATACATAAACAGTAGTGGCATAACCTACGATGTATTTTTTGTTTGTCATTCTTATGTGTTTTCATTTTGTGATATTATTATGAACTTTTCCTAGGACATTAAATATACATATATATGAAGACATTCCTTGATAAACAATCGAGTCATAGGTTTTTCTTAAAAAAAAAAAAAAAAAATTTGGCTCATGGGGGGATCGAACCCGCGACCTTCGCGTTATTAGCACGACGCTCTAACCAACTGAGCTAATGAGCCAACTGTGCGAGTTTAGAAGAAAATGCTCGATACATTGAAAAAAAACATTGATCTTAATAATCTTATTTACTTTATCGTTTAAATAATTTAAAAAGAGATATAATAGTAAATTTTGTTTAAATGAATAATAATTAAAAAATATTTATTGTTTTTTTTTTAATAAATTTATTTGGCAATATTTTATACATAATAAATACATACATACAATATACAGTAGTTTAAAGTATAACAATATATATTTTTTTTAACTGTACAGTATTTTAAACATGGAACATCAAACGTAGAAATTTGTATCAAATAACGTGTTCCTTATTTTGTACAATTAAATTAAAAGGTAAAGATTAAAAAAGCAAATGAGGCGAAAATGCATGATACTTTTTCATTCTCTTTCCAATTGGTTCATAATCGCACACCTCTATATCAGACTCCGAAGAAGTATTGATTTCTACAATATTGGCTCTTGTATCCTGATTATCTAATTCTAATACTTCCTCGTCATCTCCAGAGCATACATCTATCTCTGACTCTATATCATTGTCTTTAACTTTCAAAGGTATCTCTCTGGACATGGAAGGGCTTGAATTGGTGTTAGAATTCTCCAAGTCACTAGAATTATTATTCTCCTGATCATCCTGTAAGTCTGTAACATTATTTATGGAATCATTGGTATCCGCTGTTTCCTGATCAGACAACTGCGAATTAAATTCTAAGGGTGTGCTGTTTTCATCAACATTAATCACATCTTCGAATACAACTTTTTTATTTGTATCAACATTTTCTATTGACTGATTATCTTGCTGATTTTGAGAAGTTTTTGTGCATTCATTTTTCGAGCTAGGTTCGTTCGAATTAGACCCATTCTTTAGCGAACGCAGTGAATGAAGCAATCTAGTTCTCAAATTTATATACAATTGTATATTTTGAAAACAATTGTCGCATAAGTTGACGGATTGTTCGTTGGACTGCACAATCTAAAAATACCTCCAAAACATTGAAACTTACAAGCTACTTATTAGTTATAAATAATTCTGTGTTGTATTACAGAGTACAAACGTACCTTTATACCCATGATTAATTCGATGCTTTCACTTAATTTCAGCTGCTTCTTACATTCATCGATTTTATTACTATTTTCGATGTAATCGTCTATAAAAATCCTTAGAGTTTCGTCGAAAATGTTCTTCTGTTCGACGTCTGTGAGTGTTTTGAAACATCCACAACAAACAGCTGCCTAAAATTGCATATTATAGTTGAATTCAATGTAAATCGGTTTTATTTAGAAGGAATAAGATACAAGATAATACGCATAATGAGGTTATGTTATACGAAAGTCTGTTTATTTTGTAAACAGTACAAGCACCCTCACCATCTTGTTCTTGTGATAAGAAAACCTTGTTTTTCAAAATGGTAAATTTTAAAAAATTACTTCAGTGCTTTCGACGATACCTGCAACACACTTAAATAAACGCACTTCAACAATACGACTAAAAGTAGCACAAAATAATGCCATGCAGAAGCAACCGGTGTATACATACATCTGCATATATCTATTCATATATGTATATACACATACGAAGGTGTTCAACTGCACAGGGTGACTTGTCAAAGCTTGGAATTTAAAATATGTCCATTTTTCTTAATGATATTAGGAAAATAACTACTTCTTTCGCGTTCTTTTAAATGAGGTGACTTGAAATCTCAGAATAAATGATCTTTTAAAATCTGTTACAATATTTTTCTCTATAAACATTTGCTCATATTAGAAGTAGCACAGATATTTTAGATTCTAAGCATCTGTATACTTAATTTCCATATAATCCATAATCACCTTACATTTTTTATTAAATTTTGGTAAAGAAGAATCTTTTCTACATATATATGTTGGGTATACTTGTGGGTATATTCAAAGAAACAATAATATATATGCAATTTGAATCTTTATTTCATAGTACAATACAATCTTTATCTTACATTCATGCCTTTCGCGGTGGAGGTGCTAAATAATTTAATAGAACACAGTCAGCTTCTAGAATGGTTAAATCTTTAGTTGCCCCTAAGAACCTGGTAGACAATTCCAATTCTTTTATCTTTAAAATAACTTCAGCACCTCTGATGAATTTACTAAAATAGTATAATAATCATGGTTTGTCCTGATTATAATTATGTATATTATGTACCTTACTTACTCAGAATTCATTTTGGGTTTTGGACATACGCAATGAAATTTCCATCCAAAGTCTATGTATAAATCGTTACCAATAACATTAAATATTTGTCCCTTTACAATTTGTCCTTCAGGATCCCCTAACTGAGATATAATTAGCTTTACAGATACGAGTAGTACTTTGTTTGTAATGCTTCAATAATACAGCTTAGCATATAAAAATAATGCCAAACTATAGATTGTTACCGAACACAATACTTACATTCATAAACTTTGAATGTCGGAGCATAGAAACAAATAAACGGGGTGGCTGTGGTAAAATATCATTTTTTTCGCTAAGAGCTGAAAATTTTATGAAAGCTTTCGCGAAACCACCTAATCTGGCTTGTTTTGTATCCACATTCTGTCTCTCTGTGTTTGTTACATTTTCATTTGAACTATTCTCGGTGGTGTAATTTCGGGTAAGTATCGAACTCGTCCGGAATTCATAAACGAAACGTAACTGTTTTACCAATTTTCCATAATGCCGTATTTTGTCCATGATAACGCACAGAAAGTGTGCCTTTTATTATAAATATTTAGGTTATGTTTCGATCAGTTTCGACGTTCGCCTGGGCTCGAACGTTTGTTCTCTTTAAACATCGAATTTAAAAGTTCAACAAAAAACCTTTTACCATTTGGAGTTGGTTAAAAATTCGTGTAAGTTATACGATTAGCGGTATTACGTGACAACCAAAATTAAATAAACAGTGTCGAGATTAAACAGATAAACACAATTCTTGGATTCGCTACCTATTTACCACGTTTAAATTTGTTAACTTTAACTTTAAACTAAAGATAAATGAATTGTATGCTTATGAATCTTTCACGAGTTTTAAAATCAGATCCAATCGAAATCTGAATAAATTACTTTAGATATGTAAGCATAAATTGTCGAGAAAGAGTTTTGTTCTGTAAGGTTTATATCGGTAACCTCTTTTTCATTGATAAAGGAACGTATTTAAAGGAACACGTAAATAAGGATTACATGACCGTTAACGTTTGTATCATTGTTTTTCAGAAAACGTAGCAATAATGTCCTGTTGTGGTATGCCGTTTACTGTTTTATCCAGAAATATTTCTACATCGGCGATATGTAATCGTGTAATTAAGTTAACTCGGTTAAGAGTTGTGGATAATAGTGAAATTGGGAAGAAAGCTATGATCCAAGGAAAACCACCACGTTGTATACACGTATATAATAAAAAAGGGGTGGGACTTATAGGTAAGCCGATCATAAAATTACTTTGATAACAGTTTTCTAGTTCCTTTTTAAATAATACAGGAGACAAAGTGATGGTTGCAATAAAGGGCGAAAAGAAGAAAGGTATATTGGTTGGTTTGAAGGCGCTTCAGAATCCAAAGGTCCCAAAATTTGACAGCAACAATCTCGTTCTCATAGACGACAATGGAACACCTTTGGGTACCAGAATCCATGTCCCTATTCCGCATATTCTTCGAACAATATTGAAAGAGAAAACGCATTCCAAAGGTGCTGATTACACTAAATTGTTAGCCATTGCTACAAAGTTTGTTTAGTTCTTTTGCGCAGCTGAAGTAATCCAGATCTTAATATAAAACTTTATATGTACAGTATAGATAATTAAAACTTTCCACCGATTACTTTATTCGTATTGATTCCATTTTGTATTTACTAGAAAAGTTATGTTTGAAGAACATTTAAAATAATGGGCGTAAAATTTAAAGGTATTGATAGAAGGTATGAATGTTTCCACGTATAAAATTAAGTAAAAATAGATTAGAGTTACAAAATTTTAAACAAATTAGGTGGATCCAGAAAGGCCATCGCTCACTAAGCCGCTCAGTAAGCGGGTGTAGTATCAGTGACGCCATTGGTGGTATAACGCCCAAGCTTGTAGTGAAAGTAGTTCTCACCCTTGTCGGTAGATGGCGCCACTAACCAAAATAATCGCTAATTATTGCTGCATTAAATAATTATTCATAAAAATGATAAATTTCACATATTAATTAATATATTATACTGTTATAAAGCACAGAATTGTATCGATATAGATCTTTCTAAATGCACCCGTCATTCGTTGAGTACCCACCCAACAGTGGTGCTTGAAGAGAGATATCTCGAGGCACAGAAAAATCTCGTGGTCGAGGCGGCAGTGGTTGTCTTTTACAAATGGCGACTCACGGAGAAGCACGCCGACTCGTTTAACCGCGAGGGTTTTCCATTGATTATTATTGTGTAAATACACATTTACTGTTTCGATATAAGGGTCCACGTTCGGTATAGCAGTTCGAGTGTTTCGCCATTCACACTCTGAAAATAAAGATCCTAGAAATTGTTAGCTATAAAATCCGGCAAAATGGGAAACGTACTAGCAGCCTCTGCACCTCCTCCACCTCCACCGCCACCACCATCTCCAGGTTTGATGCCAAATTTAGGAAAACAAGATTCTTCTACGGGGTTGTACGTACCCTCCGAAGCCATGGATCGTTTGGAAAATCCAGGGACGATCGAAGACCTTCACAAGAAATGTAAAGGTATGTACTCATTTTTCCAACTCATCGTCTACATTTTCATATCTTTTCTTCCTTTTTGCTTATTACTTTGTCCCTTTTCATCATTTTAATCGTACCAGAGGAATGACGTATATGTAATCAACGATTTTCATTCAAACACAGATGTGTTTCCTGTAAATTTCGAGGGAGCAAAGCTAATGTTCAATAAAGGCCTCAGCAATCACTTCCAAATTTCCCATACAATAAACATGAGTTCCTTCACACCATCGGGATACAGGTACGATCGAACCTTGGTCAGATCTTGTTCTTGCTCTTTTTGGTTGGACGTTGATGCATTGTTTTATTTTGTTCAGGTTTGGCGCAACTTATGTTGGTACAAAGCAGCCTGTACCTTCAGAGGCTTATCCTGTGTTATTGGGTGACATTGATCCATGCGGAAACCTTAATGCTAATGTCATTCATCAGTTTGGCCAAAGACTAAGAGGAAAATTAGCAACCCAAGTACAAAAGAGTAAATTTACAGCAGTCCAAATGACAACAGATTATCGTGGTGATGCTTACACAGTGTCGTTGACTCTGGGTAATCCAGACATACTTAATGGTTCTGGTAAGCAATGAGGTAAAGATCAATTGCGCGAAATCTTAGAAACGATCATGGTCTGGAAATAATTGTTTCCAGGCGTTTTTGTGATGCATTATCTTCAAAGCGTAACGTCGTCTCTTGCACTTGGCGGTGAACTCGCTTATCAGCGAGGCCCTGCTGTGCCAGGAGGTCAAATAGCTGTCGTTTCCGCTGCTGGAAGGTATACTAATGGAGAGTCGACGATCAGTGGAAGTCTAGGTCTGTAGTTAGGTCTAGGCTGGAGATGGGTTAAATAATCATCCAGATTTTGGTTTGCATGATGAAAAGATTGTTAGTAACGAATCCGTTTTCTGGTAGGATTAACCGGTTGCCACCTCTGTTTTCATCAAAAAGCTAGTCAGCAGTTGCAAGTCGGCGTGGAGTTAGAAATTAATTCTAGATTACAGGAATCCACTGGAACTATTGCTTATCAAATCGATTTACCAAAAGCCGATCTAGTGTTCAGAGGTATAGTATCCTTGGTGTATGTTGTACCTAATCGTTAAAGTGATTTAAAAAATGTTACATTTTCAATGCAGGAAGCGTCGACACAAACTGGACTGTTGGCGCTGTCCTGGAAAAGAAATTACAGCCATTGCCATTCTCGTTTGCGTTAAGTGGTATGATGAATCATAATAAACAACAGTTTAGATTGGGCTGTGGATTGATAATTGGTTAAGGGTAGCCTGTAGTCCAATATTGGTTGCGTATGTGATCTAGCCAAACGATTGGAAGGAAAGCGACGGGAGTATCTCGATTTCTGTGCACTCCGCTCAAGAGAACGTTGTAATTAGTATCAATAATGCCCATCTAATGCCCTTCGTTTATTTACCTTATCAGCTCACGATCGTGTCTATACGATCGTATTGATTGATTATATTTATTAAAGAAACACCGTACCAACAGGGTTTTTTGTCGCTGTGTATGTTCCTTCATTCTGCGGCATGCGTAGTAGTTCATTGTTTACTTTACATACAGTTGATCGGTCAGTGAGTTAAATTGTTAAATTTTACTGGTGTCTATCATTTTTACGATATTCATTCTAGTTTCGTTGGACGAAGAGATTGCATTTACGTTTGTACATTCTCGTCGTCCGCGTGTACAGGTGTATAAAAATGTATTTAATAATCCGGAAAGTAGCGTGAAGTTTTTATGTAAATTTTATATACATATATAAATGCGTGCCGAAACACGCCCATACGCCTTGGATTTACGTTGTAACGACATTTTATGAGATTACATCGAGTTCCAGAAATTGTTGACAACTGTTAGACAAAGATTTATTACTGCCATTCAAATTCTGTCGATACCATCATGTTTTTTAGTGAATATTCATCCTTTTTTCTTAAGTGAGAAAGTAGTCATTTTCAGTTTTGAACTTTTTTATTTCATTTATTCGAAAAATACTGGTTAGTGTGTCTTCGATTTATATCGTATGTAATCAATGTAGTGTGCACCGCTTGCAAGAAAAAAGAAAAAGTAAAGAATGTATATTGCAAAAATAGATGCGAAAGGCAGTGCGATTAATTCGAGGAAACGTAACTCTCGTTCGTACCCGCTTTCTCATATGCGTACAAAAATAGAGAAAGTGGGAAGAAACATGTTGAAATGAATGATTAAAGAATCTGGCCAGAATCAAATACGATCAAATGAAATTAGAATAAAATTGACATTAACAAACTGTTTCTAGGCAACTATTTCTCACTCCCCTATTCCGCTCTAGATACTCCTAATCATCCGATTTCTAGTAATACCGATGTTACTAAGAATACTTGGTTCATTGACTTGTAGACGTTATCGATTCTTCAATAAATAGTCGATAGAAGATCTAGAAAACGCTCGATATCGAGCTAAATTTGTTCACGTAAGTATGTCTGAAAGAATAAAGTTACGTCTTCGAACGAAATCGACCTTTGGACGGCTGTCTAATCAGCCATCTTCGCTCCACGCATGTAATTATAAGACGTGTTGTTTTCACCTTGAATGGAATAGTGGCTTAACCACGATAGTTCAGCGCGATAACAACAATTTGTTCGACGGTTTAGCGAGTAGAATAATTCGGTCGTTCGTGTTTCTTAGTCGCGAGTAGGGTTATCTCTGGGTCACGAGAAAAAGAGTACGCAAGACACTCTTCGGTCACTTCGTAGTCGCTTTTCATAGGTCGATGGTTACAAATATGATAAAAATATGTGCTCGATTCTTAATTTTCTCAATAAGTTTATTTATTTCTCATTCGCAGTTTTGGGTATACTTTTAAATGCTCGAGTTAACTCGGTTTAACAAACAAAAATGAAGAAGGGGTAGTCCGATGATTCTTGATCGTTTTTTTAATCATTCTCAGGATGCTTAGTTTCATTTCCCATTGCTGACAGCGTTCAAATTTTATTTTAGCCCTAAATTCAGACTCTGAATCGATAAAATAGGAAGCATTCTGAAATGCGAAGGCGGTTTCTTTTTAGCGTTCAATATTTTGTTTTAATACAGGATCCTGAAATTTTGAAAAATGAGAACAGCGTTACGTGCAACCACAAGCATATTGCTGTTTATAGTTAAGCATTCGAAAACCATAGAGATATTTATCGATTAACTATAAATAGAGTAGGGAACCGTACCATAATTCAAAAGAGAAGGAAAAGCGCGCCATTTTATGTGTCGTTTTCTACCAGCGCATGCGCACAAGTGCATTATTTCGCGCGCTTTCCCCTTAACATCTCGTCAATGTTAATTCTTTATTCAATCGAATTTACTCATATTTCTTGCAATATTTTATCGTTATTAGTGGTATACAATATGAAAATTGTATAAATTCGTAATATAAGCTGTAGAAACTTGAAAAATTAGTAATGTACAGAGCTAGCCCAGCAGCCAGTCGTAGTACGACGCATGCGCAGTAGACAGCAGAAGCGGTTTCCCTCCTCTTTCCAATGGCGGGTCATTTCTTCGAAGCTCTCTGCTTTTTCGAGTATCCTTTTTGGCATTTTTGGACGATTCCGGGCTATAATTGAAGGGTAAGTTGATTGTCGATCAATTTAAGATAAACGTATTCATGTTACGCGCTGAATCAAAGACTAGGCAGGTTAGAATCATAGATGTCCATAGTTAGAATGAGACAATCGACGATCGACTCGTTCTGTAGAATTCGAGGAACGTATTCGCAATGTAATCATTGGAATGAATGAACGTGTTCGTTCGATCGATTGTCCAATCGTGTCGGAGATTAATGAATGAACATAATTGTCCTTGGATATCGATGGTTTTCCCTGCGTATCCTTGACCGACCGATGATATCGATCGATATCTGATATCAAGCACGAGACTCGGTTAGCTTCGTTTCTTTTAAACAATAGGTTACGTTCGAATCCAGAATCGGTCAATAGTTTTTGACAATTGCGACAGGTTCCTGTTTCCTGATGCATACTTCGAATACGTAAAGGTTTTCATCGAAATGTGTTCTGCCAGTAAGTCTCTAGACTGCAGCTGTAGACGTGAATCATTCCAAAGCATGAGTAGAGTTTTTATGTTGCCCTTTGTTCATGTTTCCTTTGTTTTTCAGTAGCAGCTCCTTGGATTCCTTGGCCAGGCTTCCACATCTACGCGCAGGTAATTTGTTTACCTCGTGCCTAGCGCAAACCCGACGAAAAAGAAAACCGAACAAAGAGTGAGTCATCGAGGGGATTCGTACCGTACGAGATCACGAGGCAAGTTTGCCAATCGATAAATTGATACATTGGAAACAAAGTTTGAAATTTGCCAAAAGTTGCTCAAGACTGACGTTACGATAATTTATATACGATAATTATATTTTCAGAATCGATTGCTGCAATGCCTCCTACGTCACCGTACCAAATTCCTTGGGTTTCTGATAAACCACTCCTCCCAAACAAACCAAAACAAAGGTCAGACATGCATACGTACATACACAGACATATCTGCCCTTATCGCAGCCGATTCTCTTAGTAAATTCGATTCGAGTGACTCTAAACATTGAAAAATGCGAAACAAACGTAACCAAACAAGCATTGACCGATACAATAATACCTTCCATCGAACTCAATAACAATTAGAGAAGATAAGAACCTTAAAAACACCCACCCACACACAGTTCCATCTAAAAGCCTCTAATTTGCGTCGCAGCCCATAAATCATGCTCGACGATCAGACTTGCAATTTGGGTCGAGGGGTTAGAAACGCAAGGTAGGTAAACAAAGGAGGTGAAACAGCGCGACAAAGGACGAAGAGCGTGGAAGCAAAAGAGGATCGAATCGTAAGAGTGGCACGGTGCGAAGGGGGAGAGGGCCACTGGTGAACACCTACGTCGGTGTGCAGCGTGTCCACGTGCAGGGCGATAAGAGAAGCGTCGTTGGAGAAGGAAGGAAGAGGCACATGCGCTTTTCGCGACAGAGACGAGCCGATAGAATTGGCGCACACGGACACACCATACTCAGTGGACGTGTGAGTGCACGTCGAGCCACGACGATCCACGTCGACGCAATCGAGTTCACGGTGCGCATACCATAGTTTTCCTTAGCGCTATTCGCGGTGCCCCCACTGCTCTACCGGAGCGCAGGGCCACAGGGGACTCTCCCGTCTAGCTAACAGGCTCTGTTGGTGTCCCCCGAGGAGCTAGAACGTTCTCCTTGTTCCTCCTTCGTAGCATTAATTCGTTCCTATCTTATTCCCGCTCGACAAACAGGGAACTCTGCCTCGGATCCGAGCCGACGCGACCGAGTAAACGATGCGATTTAATCGAACGCTATCTGACTTCGTTGGTCACCTCTGGCACGATCTGGCTCGACCATCCAGAGACTCCCGATCCTCTCTCGTTCTCTCCCTCTTTCGCATAGTTCTTTCGCTCTATCGCCTCGCTGCTCACTCTTTCTCTTTCTCTCTCTTTTTCAGTTCCACTCTGCTCGCCGGTTCTCCTCTATGTACATAATACACATCAAGCTTCCAAGCATAGAGCAGTGGCCAACGCGTGTTCTCTCCTCTGACCGGAATTTGGCAAACCGCGTTTCACCGTACCCACCAAATCGCCCGGGTAAAGAGAGTGCCGAGAGCAAAGTACAGTTCGCTGCGAGGTGACGTTTCATCGTATTCGATCCTGAACCGTGCTGGGAAATCGGCTACCCTTCGTTTGCACCGTTCCAACGGCGAATAGTGAGCACCAGGCCGTCCGCCGAAAAGGAAAAGCAAAGGGATCCTGTTCGACGGTTGGAGGAGCTCGCGGTCCCCAGGGTTGAGCTGATCGAGGAAGGAACCCGAGGATGACGAGGAGGAGGAGCACCAACGAGGATCCCGGGGAAACGACGAAACAACGGCAACGCGACTACGGTGAGCGATATTTTCCAATGGTTCAGCGATCCATATCGATCCCTTTCGATCACTGTCGACGAGAGGAGCCTCTGTGACGAGACCTGGCGTGTCCTCGGTGCGACCGCGAGGTCCCCGAGACCAGAAAGAGTTTCGAGGGTCTCGAGGAACCGCTCGACCGTCGGTGGTCCGCGAGTCACTGGAGACCGGGGGCCAATCGTGGGGGATGTATATACATACGTTGGATATCAGAGTGATAACTCCGCCGCTAGCAGCGATAACAGCCTGTACTTGGTAGCCTGTCATCGCTGGTTGCTTCTATTCGGGGACGGATACCGGAGAGAACCGGTGCTCGTCGTTTCGCAGCCTCTCTTTCGTCTGGAACTCTTTGATCCTTGAGTAGAAACGACTGATTTTACTTGTTTGTTTGTTTAGAAACGGAAATAATTAGCTGTTGGAGAACCGTACTACCCGAGCTCCTCGCGAGGAAGTTAATCTTCCAAAGTAGAGTGTTAGGTGAGGGTCCTCTTCCTCTACCCGAGTTGTTTAGAAGAAAGGCTCTTGTCTTCCTCGCAAGAATTTCTCAAAGATCCCTATTGTATCTGCCTATTTTGTAGAACCGCTGTTCGAGCTACATAGCGTCTCTTTGACCGTGGAAACTGACCGAGATCGTTGTTTTCTGTAAATACGCGACAACGATCGGTACCATTGGCGTGTATTTACTTCGGAATCGCGCGCTGGTAGACCTTTGGTCCCTTCAGATGAGGTCATGGAAGAGCAGAGGAGTCAGAGAGTTCGCTTGCGTAAAGGCGATAGCTATCGCCATTGGCGCTAGACTTTCTTCCATCCATTTTTGCCGAGTGTTCTATATATTTATGCATTCGTACAATTTCCCACATTATCGCTTGGCATAAATGCGTGAACTCCTCTGGTAATTATAGGACAAAATCATCGGGACAGTGTCACCTAAAACTATGAAATTACTATACTATTACTATGAAATTATAGACTAATAAGTAACGGTAGCGTTGTTCAGCAGTCTTCCTCTTGGACATCGTTTGTCTTTTTTTTTTTAGGGGGGAAGGATGAGACATCTCGATGGTTTATAGAGATAGCGAAGCCACGGAGACCTTCAACCCAACAGTAAATTTCACTCGACAAGCCAAGCGGTGATTCACGCTCTATCGGCGATCCATTTGTTTGCGTTATTCTTTCGTTCGTCTGGTCGTTCGACTACACACATACCGTCGCCTCTGGTTCCGTTTAGTCGCTCGGAAACGACTCGAGGAACGCTTCTTCTATATCGAACATTAGGCTAAATAATACATAGAATTGAACTCGAAACTCGAGATGTTTCTTAGCATTCTATTGCCAT